TGCAAACATGTGGTTTTGGTAATAATAATAGTAGTAGTCTGTTGTTTACCTTATTATTTACTCAAGTTCTCATCTGTTTACACTAATATTGAATTTATTTCAAACAAAGAATGATGTAATTGAATACAAAAATTGATTTTGTGCCAAACAAACATTGTCCATAATTTTTATGAATCAGTGATTTCACACTCTTGTGATTTATTACTTTCGCTAATGAGAAATAGTCGTTTATTTCATATTTTTTTCATGAAACAAACACTGCGTGTCTGTGTGGTTGCAGCCAGCATATTCTGCTTGTAGTCAGAGCTCATACATTTTCTCATCAAACTGAGATGCTACAAAACTTTCAACTGCAAGGTTTATGTTACTTAAAACAAACTTTGCTTTGTTTGAAATTATGATAACTATCGTTAAATTTAACAAAAATTGATGGATTTAACATTTAACTCACTCACTGGTTTTTGAAATTAATTTCAAATAATGCTTACAGAATTATTGCATTGTGTTGGATGCACTCGAGTGGATAAATGTTGAAACTAAATAAGACTGCATTTCCAGTATCTAGAAACGTGCTAATTAAATCGGGGAAATTTTGCATTAAATTGTGAAAACATTTGCAATTACGACGGTATTGTTAAAAAAAGTAAAACAATTCAGTGATACGCCCTCGCTGAATACTTACCTGGAATTTATGAATTGAAAATTAGTTGATTCTGGTAAATTACCTTCGTTTTAATTAAACAAATTTATGAGTCAAATTTGCGTGCATTACTTTATTGATCAATTAATTAACACCGGGAGGGTTTATAATTTCGCCTGTATTTACATTGTGTCAAAAAGTGAAATTGATTTAATAATAAATGATTAACAATTGAATCAAATTAATTTAATGTTAATCCATCTCAACGAAGCATTCAATACAAATTACAATGAGACATGAATTTTATTTGAGCAATTCTCCGAAGAGCTAATATTTAGAATTCTTTTTATAGCGAAATCGATAGCGGGGGCTGTTTTTTCACAATGGAAGTTTCAGTTTGATTTATGCGTAGGTCACAGGTGGCGGCTGTATGAATAAAATTGTTTCTTAATTTTTCCGTAGCATAATTTTGCATAAATGGAATAATTAAAAATGTGCTATGGGCCAGAAACTGTCCACTATTGTCGAATTCTATAAAGTGCGATGGAGAGTAATTAAGTTTAATGGCCAGAAAGGCATGCAAATTAAAAACGCAATCTCTCTGTAAAGGATACGGACTAAACCTTTGAACATAAGATAAATGGAAACAGTTTGTTTGTGAAGGAAAATAATCCGTAGCTAATCTGCACAAAAATGAGTGAATTTAAGGCATTATTAGGCTAAGTTTGCATTAAATAGATCGATTTTACGCTCCCGGAAACGCTTTCAACACTGACAAATAGTCCAAATACATGCCTGTGCATAAAGAACAACACTGCCAATGAACTACTGTTCGAAAAATGGACGCAATTAAGAAAATTAGGCAAATATTACACTTTTTTTTATTAAGTTACTTATGGTTTTTACCATCAAAATACCTGCGATTCTTTGTTTTGCTCTGAAACTGTCATTGAAAAGCACTAATCCACTCGTGCTGTGCATTAATGCGATTAAATTTGTTGCCTGAAGTGAATTAATAAATTTATTGGATGTCTTGTTCCGGGATGAAGGTGTGCCCCATAATTTTCCATAGACAAACAATGCACTTTGGAGATATAAACACGAAAATACGGTAAACGTTACCGCTTCACAGTTGAATCGAAGTACATACAGGTGCGCTAGAACTCGCGCCCCAGAGAAAAATGTAAGGTAAGATACCAGGAACATGAAAAATTTTTTTTTTAATTTTATCTGTCAAAAAATTTTGACATTTATTTTTTGACATTTGATACCTTTTATGTCTATTTAATGATAATGATGATCTTGTATATGTTTTTTTTTCATAAAAATTTTGCCAACAAAGACCACAAATAACATTAAACAGAGTTACAATTTAGGATACAGCTTCCTTGTTTCCTCTTCTAATAGCCTGTAGCAAAAAAAAACTTGAGAAATAATTTTTTCCTACGACCATATACGAAACTAGATCATAACACACAATTACATATGCACGAAAATTGGCAATATCGTATGAGGTCAGAAACCTGTGCGATTTGTTTTCGCGCTGTGTGTTAGAAATCTAACGCACAATTCACACTCAATTGTTTTGTATTTTTTCATTTAACGTATTTTTTTTTGTATCTATTATAAAAAATAAATCGTTATTCAACGTATTTTTGTATCCATTATAAAAAATAAATCGTTATGAAAAAAAATATATGTTCGTAAGAAAAAAATTATTTATGGTCGTAGGAAAAATAGTGTACAAAACTTGCAGGAAAGTTTCTAACGCACTCGCAGGATTGCCTGCACTCGGCTGACGCCTCGTGCGCAACTTTACCACTTGTGCGTTATTTACCARTTTCCGTGCTCGTTATGTAATATACTATTCCAACAGAAATAAATAGAGCCAAAGTGCAAAATTTAAACTCTCATAACATCGAAATTTTTATATATAGACTTTTTTTCACGTTCCTGGTATCTTACCTTACATAGTATTTATCTCTAGGGCGCGAGTTCTGGCGCACCGTATATTTCAATGATTAAAATACGAGGATGAGAACTCCCAATTTAAGCAAATTTGTAATTTACTCGGGGTTTGTATTATTTTTATAACGGGGGCGTTATTTGAATAATTTAACCTTTTTGGTAAAACACTGTATTAGAAGAAAATGGAAAATGGCTGTAGTCAGTTGCTTATCTTATAATTGTTAAGCGACGATTAACAACTTGGATAAATTAATGCTGTCGCATCTCTCACGACGTTAAATAAACTTTTATTATTAATGATTTGCTCCATTACAATTACTAGTAGCTTTTCTTCAGTTAAAAAAAGAAAAAACATCACTGTAACTCTGTTGTGTATGTAACATAAATTGAGATAAACATCTTTACGACCTGATAAGGAAATTATCAGTGAGTTATTTCAGGTTGCTGCTTTTAATGGTCACAAGAGAATCGTTTTCTATTCGAATTTTATTTACGATAGACACGCTAAAACTTACAAAGATACTGCAGTTACTGACCCTACGGTGGGAATTTTATTTTTATTTGCTTCAATCTATCTGTACTGCAAACAACTTTGTTATTACTTAATATTACAAGGATAACTTTTAAAGAAACTTACTATTATGGCTGGTAATGGCCAATGACTATGACATGACTATATGAAGTCTGATTTTTCGACCTATCGTAATTAGGTGTATTGTATGTGATTATGGCGGAAAAAGGTCTTTCCACGACCACGATGAACTTTATTTTGATACCGAAATGACAAAAAAATTTCATGATTTTTGCTTACTTACTTACTTTAATATAAACGAGTGTTACTTTAAAATGCCACAATATTTTTTGTTCTCTTACTTGTGTTACTCTGCAAAACGGTTGATCTTGCTATGTTATAATTTACATCAAAGAGTTTTGGTTTCTTAGTTATTTGTTTTCTACGTTAGTTATATCGTAAATTATTATAACATTTAATTAACATTTGACTCAACCACACGGAGGAGCTTTACTATAACGACATACATAATTATCACATCGTATGACGTGACTTTAATGGCAGGTAAATGGCAACAACGTGGGTGGTGATAATTTAAATCGAGCTATAAACAAAGTTATTGTAGTTAATGATAATAAATCTTAACCAATCAAATTTCTCGCTAAAAGCAAAAGTTGTAACTAAATATTTTTTGCAACGTTCTTCCACTGATAAACTTTCCAATTTCACTTCAGGTGATGTTCCTGAAATATCCTCGCCGAGATTTAAATCTTTTCCTTAATAATCATAAGAGTTATGAAGTAAAATACAAAAAGCTTACGCACAATTTTACAAAAAACATGCCTCTAAGCCGAGCTTTTAATGGAAAGTATAAACTCTTTCAAAAATTAAAACAAATAACACAAATTGAATGGAAATAAATCGGGAAGGAATTGATTCATTTAATTTATTCACTCCATTGGGTGTATTTCATTTAATTTCATTAAAAATTTATTTCAAAGTACGTTCGCGTGTTTTGCAAGTAATTAAAGTTTTTGTATCGAAACATCAAATTGAAAAATTTTCATTCGTCGGAGAGCTGAATTTTAGTTTTTTATCTAGCAGTCGAAGTAATATAAAATTATAATTTAGGCTTCATTAAAAACGTACAAACACGTTAACTCTTTATTATATTACAGATATTTGAGTTTTAAGTTGTAATTAATTATGAACAGAGAAATCTTCTGCAGTAGGCGAAGGCAAAATAATTTAAAGCGTTGTAAAATTCGAAGTAAGATGAGTTCATCAACAAATGATTTTTTTAAGTGTATACAGTATCGCTAATACACAGTGTGCAGTAATTATTTAATTTAATGATTCAAAATGTGACAGTGTTGAAATTTGAGAATCTTGCCAAAAAATACTAACAAACCATTGGCGCAGTTTATTACACTTTTTTCCATTTATGTAACTTTTGATGAGTTTATTTTAACAAACGTAACAACCGTTTTTTGATTGAAACGGATATTTTCGATACACAAGACGTCCTATGGGAAATCTGTATTACTGCTGCATTGTTCATTAAAAAAAAAATAAAGTCTAAATTAGTCCCCTATTAATAACGCTATTGGTTCAAATCTCGCATTAGTTTGTAGAAAATAGTCAATAGATAAGTTGCTTATTTACTAATAATAAATTGCATATTACCCAAAATCCTACATAATCTGTCTTTCCCTCTCCAAAGAAACTCTTTCTCTTGTGCAAAAATCGGAAATGACCCACAAGTGCCTTAATTGTACATCTTCACAAATTTCACTACTCGTGTGAAAATTTTACACACTTTTGAAACTTCGTTCATTGTTGGAGAACGCGAAAGCTTCAGAATACGCGCGGCGTCCGTACTATGGAAGAGTTCGACGACGACTGAGCGTCCTCGGCGTCCATATAGCATGAATAATGTCGACTAGGTACTGCCATATTGATACGTTTATGACTAGATGTAACACCTGTTTGAAAATTTTTGTCGTGTTATTGATGCACAAATATTTAAGATTTTGCCAAAGAATTTTGTAGATTTTTCCGTTTTAATTATTTTGTTGTAAACCAAGTGTTTTGTAAAATTACGTTCAATATAATTTTTAATAGTGTTAGAATATTAGGAGTCGAAAGAATTCATAATAACATTGCTCTATTCATAAATAAAAAAGTTAGAGAACCGCAATAAAGTATTCTTAATGATTACAATAAACAAGTTGGAGTTTTCCTGTTTCAAGCATCCATTTTTRCCTTTTTAATTTAAATTAAAGAGAAATACCACAGTTTTTAATTTGATTACGTTGAAATTGAATCTTTAAACTCTATCGTATTTCGCGTTGTAAGAGGAACTCCACCAAAAATCTCAATAATATGTAGGTAACAAAGGAATTTTTTTTCCAGAAATATTGAATATGAAGTCTGCTGTGTATTATTAATTTTTCAAACTAATTTATTCAAAATTTTATGGACTAAAGAATGAACATTTCAGTGAATGTCTCTCTAACATTCTTGAAACTTGATGTTTAGATTTTAAGAAAAATCTTGTCAGATCCATTCACTTCATTTAGAAAAGTGCGACAGTATTAAAAGCTTTGTCAAATTATTAAAAAGTCATTCTCTTATGCTGCTTTTTTATTTACGTGACTAGGAATAAGTAGGTAGATACCATCTGCTAAATGTTTCGGTATAAATTTTAAAATTAAAATAAGCCTACAAAAGCCAGTTTGCAATAATACGAATAAGCCACGGCACGTAGTGCGCAAAGTGCATGAAATTAAAAAAAAATCGTTTGTACTTCATATATTGATGCTGAAATGTGTTTAATAATGTTACGATTAGGTATAAATAATTAAAATTATTATTGTACCGTTTGCAAAGTGCAACACGAAAAACAACAAGTAACAAGATATAAAGCTATAAAGTAAATTTCAGCGTGCTAAAACCACATACCGTTGTTATTTAACGTTAAAAGCGCGTATTTTATGATAATTAAACTAGCAAAACGTTGTAGTGTCCTTTTTTTGGTGACAGCATTGAGCTAAAACTAAGTTTATTCGCCTGGAGTACTAGAAATGTCARGATCTAGATTGAATAAAATTAAACTTAATGAATAAATGTCGACATTAACTTTATCAAGCAAAATTCTGAAACGATTTTTTTTATGGAAATTTGGTTAATTTAAGTTAATCATAAGTAATCATTACAAAAGAAATACTATTAGAGTGGCTTTTAAGGTGCAAAACTAATAAGTGAATCACTAGTTCTTAAAAAAAGAATACAAAAACTAAAATGCCGATATATTCTGGGCCATTTTTGCACCAAGTGTTCATATTTTTTTTATACAGGATGTTCCATTTTTATTGTTARAAATTTAAACAAATGATAGAATATTWGATTTTTAAATAAAAGTTTCCTATAAAATGTATTGAAAAATATTGTATAAAGGAGCTACATCCCCTGCAAGAGGTGCACCTTTTAATGGATTTTTTCCAATATTTCAGAAACCATTGTAGATAAAATTTCAAAATTTGGTACAACTGATAACCTTTATACATCCAAACAAATTCAAAGATAAAATGTCGAAATTTTTACTCAGCGGCGTCCTAAACTGGGAGGTTTAAGGTAAAAAGTACCCTAACTATTTTGGCTGTTGGCTGTTGGCATATCACTTTTAACCACATAATTCTAAATTTCATAGTTTTTCATAAAAAAGAGGTCTTTTGCGTTTTTTTGATACAACTTACCGTTTTTGAGTAAAATTAGTTTACAATTTGTCTTAGACTATAAAGAGGATAAAAATTAAAAATTAAATTCGTGTTACCGTTTAAGATACCCGTGATTAAAAAATTCGACAATGATCTTTGAATTCGTTCAGGTTTAAAGGTTATCAGTTGTACCAACTTTTGTAATTTTATCTGTTCTGCAAAAGTAGAAAAAAAACATTAAAAAATGCATCTCTTCTAGGGGGTGTAGCTCGCTTACATAACATTTTTGAAACATGTTCATAGGAAACTTTTGTCTTAAAATTAAATATTCTATCACCTGTTTAAATTTGTAACAATAAAAACGGAACATCCTGTATATAAACAATTTTAACAAAAAATACATATATTTTAATAAACTCACCTAGAGTCTACCTACTCTTTCTAACTTGTTTCTTGTTGTAACAAATAAAATAATAATTAAGTAGCTCTSAGTTTAAKATGAAGCTAAGTACATAAAGTTCATTAAACTGTAGTCATGCCAAAAATGTTTTCTTCAACAAAATTAATCATTTTCAGTTGACAGGAGACACAGGACTTTTATTTATCATTATTTATTCTGTTGTGACGTGAATTATTTTCGTCATTGTTGTCGTGTGGCGAAAAGTCATTTATTATGAGAATAGTGTGCAAATCAATTATTATTAAAGATGGTGGATGCGCCTGGTATGGTAGTCACGCGCTCCATTAAACTTGCATCTTTAGTAAGAAATGTAATCTTCTTAGATGTATTCAATCAATTAAACTTTTCAGCTCGTTTCCYATAAAGCGCTTCATTTCGAAGTACCCTCTTAACCGATAATATCAACGGCAATTACAAATTGACTCAGCCACACAATAATACGTGAGACCGAATTTGTGTGCTTTGGGGATGATCAGAATCATTAATTCACTAAAATGGGGAAACGTAATATCTTAGTCCTACATAGACGATTAATCAACGAGTTAAAGTCCAGTGCTTGGCGTTATTATTGTATGCCTAAACAGTTTAGATTTGGTCAATATTTATCCCAAGCTAATTCACTCTGTAGCTAAACACAGACATCATTAATTTATTTTAGACAAAATGTACTAAATTAAAAAAATATTACGATTTTTACGCGCTTTTGATGGGGTAGAAGTGACGTTATCTACCTAAATGTTCCATTTATCGTCCCATTACAACTTATCAATCTCTGACTCCCCAAATCATTACCGCAGAAATTCGTTTCGGGATATCTGATATGTTAGGTATTTGGAAAGCATAACTTTTGCATTTCCATCTCTAACCGATATAATAATTTTACCAGTATTGTAAAAATTCGAGTTTCTGATAAAACCGTTGTTTGTTTGTTGAATTTGGATCATATTTAAATTAATTAAAAACGTATGGTAAATAAATTAAATTGTTTATCTCACATTTGTGTTTTTATAGGTTTCCTACAATTTTTTGTAATAATTTTTTGGTTTTAGTTACAGAGAATGTTTAATATCCCGGCGCATCCACCATTTTTACTAGCCAGATAAATTTAAGATTCTCTACTTTTGATCAGTTTTGTCTATGTTAATGCATATTTTTAACATATACACATTTAAAACAAAGAAGAATCAAAATCATCTCATCTAGTAAGTAAATAATTTGAATTATTGACATTTTTTACTGCAGAAACTACCACAATTTCTGTTTGTTTATCTACCTCTAAAGTTACTTACAATTGATTTTTTTTATTTTGACAAAATAATTTAGTTAATTTATCTCATGGTCTTTAAATTCCCGACGCAATCCTCGTTTCAATACCAAATTAAATAAGCAAAAGCATTTTTTTAWAACAAACTATTCTATCATTACCTTAAATGACTAAAATTTTACAAAAATTAATTGTTTTACCGATTTTACTTTTGAAATTTTTATTTTTCATTTTTACTTTTGTCTGGTAGAAATATGCGTAATTATAAATCCAATTTTATTAAACATCAAATGAAATCATTCCCTGAGCTGTTTATAAACAACTCGTTTGTTTGTATGATTTATTTCATTTACTGCCCACATAAATTTCGTTCATATTTTTATCGTGACTAATTGGCTAAAAGCACACATTATTAAAACTGTATATTTTAATTTGGATACAGTTTTGTCACTCATATGACACTCGTTATGACTCGTAATAAGTTTTCATTATAATTGATGGCTCAAATCTGGAATTTAGTGAGTTTGCATGACAAACTCTTCCTTATTGTACCTAAACATTAGTAGTTAAAGGCGCGGCTCATATTTTTACAAAACTGAAAAAATTCGCAACCAACCTGATATCTTTTGTTCGTTTATTTTAAGAAAGTTGTTTCGTATCCAGTTAGTATCTTGACATTAACTTTTTCATTAATTATGTAAAAAGTTTCTTCCTAAATAAAATAAATGTTGGTTGAGATAGATAAGATTTAGTCCTAATTTTTATTGCAAATTTGTAAGTATCAGATAAAATAAAATGTAAAAAATAACAGCCAAAGTTACTGATTGAAATTTTCTCCGGAAATCTTGTGGTTCCACCATAGTTACYCAAAACCAAATTAAAGTTCCTATCTAATAAAATAATTACTTGTTTCTCTGCTAATAGCGTTTAATCCAATTTAACTCCCACGATCTTTACAAAAAGGTATCCTCTCTAGCCTCGTCGTAATCCTCTCGTATACCTTATCTACCCTCGAGATTAATGTAATCACGTTGGTGGGTGTCATGTTTCTAGTTGTCATTATTTTTGTTGTCACACATTTTTTTCTCTCTTGAATGTTAATAAATGAACCAGTACTCATCAATTTCCAGCTCCAGCTCTTGAATCGTCTCATTAAGGTAAAACTAGATTAATTTCGTTAAAACTGCATCACATCCTGTCAACCAAAATCACAAAACATTAAAAGTTTTACTCGAATTTAGCCAACAATAAGGTCCTGCACTCGACAACTTGTCGGCGAAGATGCGAATTAAAAAGTTTTGTCCCAACATTGTGCCAAATGGAATTCTGATTCAACCGACTCGATCAATTTAAGTTTCTTGCGCTTCATACATTAACATCACTAAAGACTCAAACACGAGATGAGGTAAAACACTCAGATTTTTAGTTAGAGAGGGAGCAAGAATCGATGACAAATATAGCGAAAACAAAGACATAAATGAGCCCAAATGTTCATTTATTCATAGATATAAGAGTGTCAAATTTATTTAATATACAGGATGAAACACCACAATAATTTTTGTGCACCACTTCTCTAAAATCACACTTTTTAGCATTTGATTGACTATCTTATCGTATTGCAAGAAAATTGAAAACGGTGAGGTCAACTGAAATTTTTGAACTAAAAAAGTAAATTCAAATCGGTTAACATTTATGTACTTCGCGCTAAAGACATGTAAACAAAAATGTAAGTAAAAGTGACTAGAAAACTTATTTGACAAGAAAAAAAGTATATTTATGTCTCCCATTAAAACTTGAAAATACAGGGTATAACTTCACGTAAAGAATGTCTCAAAACTCGCACCCCAAAGAAAAATGCCAATAAGATAATACCAGAAACATGCAAAAAATGTTATTGTCGCCGACACTTGACATTTTTCTTGGCAAGTAAGATAAGATACCAGAAACATAAAAAAATGTTTAAAAAATTCTGTCAAAAAATTTTGACATTTATTTTTGCCATTTGACTTTTTTATGTCTATTTATTGTTACCGATAATCTTGTATATGTTTTTCCACAATTATTTAGTAAAGGTACAAAAACTCAAATAACGTTAAACATAGTTACAATTCAGGATACAGCTTCTTAGTTTCCTCTTCTAATAACCTGCACCAAAAAAACATGTAGAATTATTTTCCACTAGAAATTAAAATAGGATCAAAGTGCAAAATTTAAATCCACATAATTCCTAAATTCTTGTAGATAAAATTGTTTTAACATTTTTCCATGTTTCTGATATCTTATCATACTTGGCATTTTTATTGATACCCTATTCAGGCTGATTTGTTTCTTATGATGTACAAAACATTTGGCAAACTAGCAAATTCAACAATAAATTAATTAAATTAAATCATTGGAAAGAAAAAAGGGCTAAAATGCGTACAGATAATATGGAAATTGATAGACCTGTTTTAAGCACATTAGGCGAAATCTGAATAAAAGTTAAAATTTTTACTTTTAAAGTTTTATTTTGTTCCAAATACAATCCCTTCACCGCTAAAATTTTTTGTTAAAACTGTTTTACTAAAAATTTGATCAATAAGCAGCTGGTCCTAGAGTAAAACTAAATTTATAAATTTTGTGGGTTAAGCCACTCTAATTCCAAACGCCTGTTTTATGTTAGCTGAAAATTTTCTATCATCATTCGAGAGTTGGCTCGACACCCTATATCATACAGGTGAAAATGAAATTCAATTTTATGGGATGTTTCTCAAGTCTTAAAAATTTACTGCTTTGGTTTTGATGAGATAAAAGTAATACAAAGGSAAGGTGCTCCAGAATTTTACCTGAATTTTTCATTATTCTGTAGGTTTCTTTGTGTAGTTAATTGATGATAATTTGTGCTTTATACTATTACATGAGACAATRATTTTATAATTTCCCAAGAACCGAGTGTTTTATTAATTCTACAGTTAAAAAGACGGGCATTTCTGGGTATTTATTAAGTATAATCCCGGCACCTCCACCATTTTTATCAAAATAAAAACGATTGACAAATTGAGTGTTTTAAGCAACATATCATTGAATTTATCACGTATTTTGTTGTTCACTATTGTTATTAACAATTTTCCAAGAATCGAGTATTTTCTCAATTCTACAGTTAAAAAGACGGGCACTTTTGTTTATTTATTAAGTATTATCACGACGCCTCCACCATTTTTTAAATTTTTATCGCATACAGTGGCGGACACGGAATATTGGAGATCAAATTATGTCAGTTCAAAAAATGTTAATGTAAGCTACCGCTTTATTGTCATCATGATTGACGTTTGAAACTAAAATTTGAAAGTTTTAGTTGAAATTTATTTTTGGCGTCGATTTTCCGAAACAATAATGCTAGCAATACGTACGTGTTTTTTATTAAAGTTTCATAAATTTTTTTGCTTTGTTGTCATTTTTTTCTGTAGCTTTCAGGATAAAAATTACAAAAACCGAAATTGAGGTTAGTTCCCTAAGGCCCGTTTTACGTTTTTAGGTCAGTTGAATGACAAATCGTCCAAAATTCCGTGTCCGCCGGTGTGTTATTCAATATTTATCACAAACTTAAACCATGTAATAAAAATTTCTTATATTTTACTTAATAATTCACGACGTTCTTGTTTCAAAACACAGTGTGTTCATAATACATGATACCTGTGTATCAATCTATCAATTTGTCGTCCCATATAAATATTGTTGTATTAGGCGTTACTMTAAATGGCAAATAATTATTATTAAAAAACAAGAGATATTTTAAATTAAAAATAAACGAATAGAAATCTGAGTAAAAATACTCYCATTAAAAAAACAACAAAAAAATTAACTTCAAATAGCTTCATGAAAAAAATACCAACTTTCCAGACAATCTAATAAAATACAAAAATGTTTCAACCCTTTTATCGTGTAATTGGTAGATATAGCCGTGAATCTCATACCCGTATTTATATTCAGCAGCTTTGAATTTATAACGAAAAACATTGGAAACAAAACAAACAATGCATAATTTAATTTAGAAAAATTGTGCTTTCATTGTCAGTATTTTGTGTTCTTTTCTGCGATATTAGATATCAAAATTTGGTGCAACGCTTGTAGACATTTTGCAACACTAATGACATTAATTTATCATCAAATTAATGTGAGTTTGTATAACTCGAGCGTAATGTAATATCTCAAACAGTTGAATATAATCTAAATTAAGGTGTTTGCCAGAAAACTTACAAATGCACAAATTGAGCATTATGTAAAATATCAAGATATCGTTTCAGTCACGTCGAAATTAAACTAGTTAATAGTTTTAACCATTAATATGGTTAAAAAGTTTTGTAATTTTTTGAGGAAATCATAAAAATGTTCAGTATATTAACTCAGCTAAATCGTAGATAACACTAAGGTTTATATTTTTTTTAATAGTCTGTCGCTACGACAAACATACTATAAACTATAATAGCTGCAAAGAATTTTAAATTAAACGCTGGAAGAAACAATTAAAATAAGAAATAAATATACAGACTGGATTATAAAAAAAACAGATTCTTGTTATTTTGTTTGCTTGTCTTAAGTAGAATAAATAAAAATGTTCTATTTTTTCCAAAGCCTACTTTATTTAATTTAATTTTCAAATTGCCTAAAAGCAATAGTTAATGATAAATAATAGTTAATGAGCTTACTGAAAGACAATTTAACGAGGAATTCAAAAATAATAAAATATACAGGGTGTTTCATTAAAAAACTGAAATTGATGTCACTTTCGGTGAAACAAGAAGCAACATTGAGCATCTATTCCAAAAAAAATAGATTACAATAAACAACTTTGTTCTCAAAGGTATTGTTATATCTTTAAAAACAATGGAGTTATGGCGTGGGGTGTTTTTCATAATCCAGCCTGTATAAATACAGGGTATTTCACGAGTGATAATGAGCCTGAAGGAATTGAAAATACAACCCACAAAACATTTGCAAAGTTAACGTGGATTTTTTAGATATCGCATTGTTTATTATGAATCCACGATAGCTTTGCTTCGATAATTTTATTTGTCACAACCATATCACAACTGACATTAGCAAAATTTCAAAATGCATTCGAACGATGAGAAAACAGATCTGATTCTCATTTATGGCGAATTTGGGAAAACTGCTACTGCCGTTGAACCTTTGTAAAGACAATGTTTCCTGTATAGAAAAGCTCCAAAAAGGCTTGAAAGTGTTTTTCAGTGATGCCCAATAAGACAATAACCTTAAAAATTGTGTTTCCTGTCTTGTCAATTTCTTTGTGTCAGTTAATTTTAAAATTCATAATCAAAATCCATGAAGCCAATGCAAATGTATTGCTGGCTGCAGTTCAGATGTGGTCAGGCTCATTATCAGTCGTGAAATACCTTGTATAAAATAATAGTTATTTATTGTAAGAGTGTGTTAGATAGCGTTGTATCCACGCAAGAATGTTTAATTAATTAGTTTAGTTAATTTTCTTAAAACGCAACTAACGACTGCAATATAACGTTTTATCCACAATCACAGGCCCAAATTATTCCAAACTTAATTACAAATTAAACTGACATTTAAACGTCACGCCAAATGTGCTTTCGTTAAACGTAGTAAGCTGTTACGCGGTGCACTGGTTACTAACAGTGGAATAAAAAAAATAAATAAATAAAAAAAAACACTTTATTCTAATAGTGGATAAAGTGGTACTTTATACGCATCTAAAATGTGGAATAAAGTCCCTTTATAGAGTGATTGTAGATAATAATTATTTATTCGACGAGTTTTAGTGTAAATCGGACGGAATATTTCACTGAGTGGGTTATTAAACCACGAGTGTGGGTTATCATCCACGAGGTGGAATAAAGCGTCCGATTTACACTCAAACGAGTTGAATACAACATTTTATTCTTCGAATTAGACTCAATAAGGCTTAAACTTGCTTTAAATCTGTTAAAAATAATCTSACGTTTCGTATTGAGAAATGCCAAACAGTTGTCAAAACATCCTTACACGGGAGAAAAACCGTAAATTTTGACAGTGTCGAAAAATAAAATATCTTTATTCAATCCTCTATGTTAAAATTGAATTTTATCTACTCGTTTCTTCATGTTAAAATGAAATTTTATCGTCTAGATTACTCTAGATGATAAAAAATACATCCATTGTTGTATATCTGCGGTTGTTAGTTGCTAACGATCTTTGACATTTGATTTCATTGTTGAGTTTTACTTTGATATTTATAAATATCGACCAAATTGGCTACAAAATTAGTTAGGATTGAATAAAATTGTATAGTGTACACGACGATAAAATTTTCATTATCTTTTCGAGCATATTAGCGTCTCGGCTGAGGCCTCGACGCTAATTTGCTCTCAAATTCAATTTTATTGTCTTGTATAAGAAATAACTATTAAATCATTTATATCCGTACGTAGCAACTGGTATCTAAAATGGGTGTTTTTTGAATATTTATGACTTTTCTGACTTTCATATCTTGCAGATCCAAACATGTCTTACGGCTATGTCCCCCAGTACGTAACGGAAGAACCAGAGTCCGAAAGCGACTGTCCCTCGGACGACCAAGTCATGCAACACGTTACATCCGACGTTACCGAACTGTACCGGAGGAAACATCAAACCGTAAACCATCACCGGAACTCAGCCGGAACATATTATCACACGCACGTACCCAAGTAAGTAGTTACGACCACAACTGAAACTTTTCTAATGGAAATTTGAACACTTGACGAAAAGTTAACTCGAGGAATTGTTCGTGACTTTGTCGCGATCTCATAATGATTGTTAATAAAACAGGGCAGGAAGAAAATAGGACGAAAAGCTGGAAGGGTATAATAAACGGTCATTTTGTTACATTACAGTAGTCTAGTATGTTGCGAAGACACAAATTTCATGTTTTAAGTATATTTAATTTAAAGAGAGGACAACTTTTGTCAGAGACAAGAATGTTAGATCCTTTCAGCAACTCAAACCGGAACACAAATTAATTAAAAACTTTTAATCTCTTAATAACAAAACACGTACAAATAACTAATATTCATTTTCGTTGCAAACGCGACCCACGACATGACTGTTTGCAGTACAGCCATCTGATAAAAATTAAACCACAAATTTTTAATGTTCTCCTGAAATTAAAACATAATCTCACGACTATTTCTGTGAAATGTGGTAATTGCAGTGTTGGTGACATCTGCACTGCTTTTTTCTCAACTTTCCAAATTAAAAAACATGACTATTTAAACATTCGTATTAAGCTTTGATGATAAGTTGGCAAATTTACAAAAAGCTGAGCTAACTGTGTGGATAAGACATTTTTTCAGATCCGCCTACTAATAAATCACTCTAATTCGATTGAGAGCACAGTTTCGGAACTTTTAACTGACCATCTGTGTTTTGGATAGATTTTTATTGGGGTTTATTGCGGAGCTGTTACATTAAATGCAAACAGAGCAAAAACGCTAAATTGAAAATTAGTAAATTGTCATTTTCTACGAACATTTCTGAGTGAATTATTTTCACTAAAATGTTTCTGACGCTTTGGTTAAAATATATGCTTAAATAAGTAATTAAAATTAGTACGCCCACGATGAATTTTGTACTCGTATAAACTCATCAAAGGAAGCTTTTTTGATAAGTTCAAAGTTCAAATTAATGCAAGTTTTTCAGTTTTGTGTTATTTTTACAAAAAATAAATACGTATGATAAATGTACTCCTAAGTTCTAAAATAATTGCTTTCAAGGATGAATAAAACAAATCAAGACATTGATTCATTATTCGAAGTTTGTTTTAAATTTTTTGTAGGCAGAGTTAGGTCAATGCATCGGTAAAAAAACAAGCCTTTATTTCTTATCATTTGCGTGAGTGACTCAGCCGTAACCCATAACTCCGTAAAAATTTGCAATTTGGAGTTGGAGTGGTACATTTCTATGAAAACAACGAAAATTAAACTATTTAAATTTCAATTTCAATTTTGAGCAATGATCCACGTCCTCCACAATACAAATTATTAAATTTCCCARAATAAGCGTCATCTTGACATTAAAGAATATTTTGTCCGTGCCCATGCATAAAATTCTTGTCTGACGACCAATATTAAAACTGCCTTCCTGCGACAAGAATTTCCTAATTCTTGCGACCCATTCAAGTGCATTTGCTTTTTGTTGTCTCACTCTTGTCATTGTTTTCGTTGAGGAATTTAACGTGGTTTTTTCCGCTTGACGGCAACAAACCTACTTTAAAGTTTGAAATTTTCACGAAGGTCTGTTCTCAACTATGTTTCGGGACCGGAGTGAAAGAAGGTTCCGGTTTTTGTACCGACTACTGTCAAAGTTCGGTTTCCGTTCGGTGTAATAACAATTCGAGCACTAGGTAAAAGAGCTTTTCGATCGAAAGAAAGCGATTGTTTTGCTTTTTACGGCGGCCGCCGTTTGCAGCCGTTCCGTACGATAAATTCACAATTAAATGTACTCTGTGGAACTTTAGAAACGAAGGCAATTTTGTAATTGTTAATTGGATGTTACAAGCAAAAGTATTAAGAATTTTAAATTATTCTTATTGAAGGACTGCTCTCATCTCAGCTAGTTTAGATATAGARATTTTTTGATCGATTCTCAAGCCTTTATTATACTTTAAGTAGGGAAATCCACTGCAATACTTTATAAATCGACAAATTAAATTTAAGATTGACTTTTGAGCCATGCACATTTCCCCTCGAGTCAACTTTTCGTATAGAATTTTCATTCATGTTGAGGTCGTCCTTTGAATCTTTAAGCCATTATAAATGTCCTTTTATCTCCTTGTAGCTGTTACGAACAACAAACCCGAATCCCGGCGACTTGTGTGTGTAACCTGCCGCCTGATCCCAGATACTGCTATTATAAACCGGTTCCTCAAGCCCAGGAAGGGATATTCAGAAGTTCTACAACTGTCTCACCGAATTTGCGGACTTGTCCTGACACGAAAGCCGCCTCTACGGCCACCTTTAAGAAATATCCGGTCACGGCGAGAACTCCAAGGTAAGTGTTTTGGCTGTTTTGTTTGAATTGCTAGTTTTTCGTGTCTTCGTACTTTTGTAATGGAACTGTTTTTTTGCATATGTGACTTCTGATAATCTCTCAACCGTTCATGCATTTTAAAAACGTAAGTTATTGTCGGCCGTTTCTGGCCAATGCGAGTCTATAAATCATCCGAGTAATTTTAGTAAAATTTCATGCATTATTTTGTTTTGTATTAAGATAAAAGAAAAGAAGAAATAATCGGGTATTGCTTAATGTTTCTCTAATCTTCCGGATTCCTTCCAAAAGATGAAATCGTCAGCAAAAGTCGATATAACGCTTCTTAGACTCAATCAGGAAATGCTCTAGAAACAATCAGCTATAATGGTAAATAATGTGCGCGCTTATGTTCGTCGATAGCTTTGGTACTGGCTTTGAGATCTTGATGGAGATTATGACAATTAGGTATAGAGAACTATGTTTGAACAAAACTAGTTTCGACGGAAGAGAATATTAGGTGACAGTTGCACAGGTGAACAGATGTTTAATAATTATTCAGATAGTTGAGTAGGTTGTTATAGAAATTATTGGGTTTGGTAATTGCGTGATCTGTTTTCAATGACTTGTTAAATTGAGTAATCATATATTAAAGACCTGTGACATTGTAAATACACAGTAATTAAATGCTGAATTAATTAGGATTGTAATGAGCCAATAATACAATTTTACAGAAAAGTTGCAGAGAATTTTATCACCCTTGTTTTATGTGTTTACAAAATTAACAATAGCACGCACAACGTAGAGGATTAGTTCTGCGAAAATAATACTCTACAACTTACAAATTTGTCAAAAACCTTTTTCTTTATCTCAGTATTAATAACTTTTGTTGTTTTAAAATGTCGCGAAATTTATGTGTTATATTCTGACGGTTAAATGAAAAACAATTATTAATTATTGGCAACGTTTTGGAATATTTTATTTCTTATTCAGGTCATGAATTATTTTTTATGTTGCATAAGCATCTTGGCAAGTTTTTCTTTCTTTCTCTCACTCTTTTTGATCACACAAAACAATTAAATGTCTCATAATCAGTCAAACCAAATACTAAACTCCATGGTTAAAAAAATAGTATTACTCTGAACTGAAGCTACTTGTAATAAGTTTGAAATCATTACCGAAAAATCTTAGCCACATAAATGGGTGAAACATTTAAAAAAGAGTCAATTACCGAATTGTTAAACTTAGCAGATAGTTTTTTCAGTTGCACACCTTGACAAAATTTCCTTTCACGCTTTCGCATTTGATCTAAATTTAACTTCAGACGTCTCGACTTTTCTAGTACTCAACAATTGGCACTTTTCGGGCGACAARGATCGCTAAATACTTATAACGATTGATGAAGTACAGGATCAAAGTTGAAATCTCTCTGATAGTTTCCTTTTCACAAGTTATCGTTTTTCATCTTCTCGCGTAACTCTTCACCGAGGTGGACGTTCCACGTGCGATTTTTCCACCCTCGTTAATTTATCTCTCATTTCACGTCTGACACTCCACCGGGACAACGTCGGTCGTGACTTGTTTATTTATTCAGGTGCGTGGAAGGGTCGGTGAGATACCTACAACATTACGGCTTATTCGAGATAAACACTCTCTTAGTTAGACTATTTTAAATATTAAAATCACCGAGTTTAATTGCTAGCGACACTTGATTCAATTGTATTTTCCGGACGATGGCGGTTATTCCGGTTACCGGAGCTTCCGGATGTCACGAGGCCCGTTTTCACGTCGTCTAATGTCGCATATTGGATCAGTTACTCGGGTGGAAGTTTCGTGTTTGCCGCAGGCGTCGAAGAAAACGCATTTGTGACAGTTTCGACAATATAAACTCGGCAACTTCTTTATAGACGAAGTTGGAAGTATTGCGACTTTGTTGCCTATTGTCAACACTATACCTTATACATATAATAAGGATGCTGCATATTGTCATTCTTTGAATATTCATTTTTTTTTTGAATGAAATAACTTTAATTGCCTAGCTTCACAATGTTGCGATTTTTAATAGAAAATTTCTGAGACATTCCAATATGAAACAACTTATTTTGTAAAGAAATAAGTAAAAATATTGGAAGTAAATGTTAAAAAAATATGCAAACAACTTTTCGGATGATTTTACAGTAACTAATTAACTAATTACAAATTTTCGCAAAAAAGAAATTGATAACAACTTGTATAAAATTTATCTTGAAAGCTATAATAACCAGATGCGTAGTACCTCCGTGCATAATTAAAACATTTTCCTCTTGTACAAGGCTAATATTGCTGCTTATAAAATGTTACATCTCATCCAAAAGTGTTCTGTGATATTAAAGTTATTAGAATTTCAAATATTAAGCATTCTGTTATTAAAAAGTACTTATAAAGAAATCAGATTATCAAAGAATTAACATCAAAGTTTATCTCTAACTTGCACAGCTTTGAAACTTTGTTACTTTAAATAAAAAAAAAACGTTTAAGATTACAAGTGAATAGCTGTGAAATGAATAAACAGTTTTAAAAGTGCGAATTAAATATCACTCATTTGAGTGATCGTTACTAGTTAGTTAACCTGCTGTTTTTTCTAAATGCAAGTTTTTTTGGTACAGGCTATTAGAAGAGGAAACCAGGAAGTTGTATCCCAAATTACAATTTGAGAGTTACAACTCTGTTTAATGTTATTAGTGGATTTTATTGGAAAAATTTTTGTACCTTTACTAAACAATTATAAAAAATACATAGAAGATCATCAGTATCATTAAATAGACATAAAAAAGTGTCAAATATCAATAAATTAATGTCAAAATTTTTTGACAGATAGAATTTTTTAAATATTTTTTTTCATGTTTCTGGTATTTTACCTTATTTAGTATTTTTCTCTGGGGCGTGAGTTCTGGAGCACCTGTATAAACAGCTTTGACAATTTTTATAAATTGTAATCTTACGGTGTACCTTTGACGGTACAGATTCAGCCACAGCATTTTGTGGCATTGTCCATTTGTCAACACCATGTCAGTTCTTGCGTCGTTTGGCCACATTTTAAATTCAAGGGAAAAAAAGTGGAATTTTTGACACTGTCAAATTTAACTAATCACATATCAACAGTTACTTTAATTTGAATTTAATAAACTAAATTTTTCTAATGTACAAAAAGAAAAGTTGACTGTGACAATGTATTTTGGGTTGCGTCTAAAATTCGTTAAGGGACTTTATTATAAGTGACTCAGCTTGTACAATACTATAACAATCATTAAATGCCTCCTTAATAATAGTAACAGGTTTCTATTTAAATATGACGTCATAGTTGACGGTGATTTGAYTGTATTGTGAACGGARCACAATTTAAAATACGTCCGACGAGGTGTCAAATGTCAGATTAATAACTTTCAATACGATGGTTCGTTCACAATCAAATTTTCATGGATAGCTTTGACACCAAATTAAAAAAAAAACACCTTTTATAATAGGTACATAATTAATAATAGTATTGACGCAGCCATAAAAGTGTTGCTACCGGTCTGATACCGTAAATAGCTATTTTCGTGTTTTCAATGGAAAAAAGATTTTAATASGTAGAAATCAACAAAGTGTCATTTTAATCGTTGACAACACTTTACTCATTAGCGACGCAGTTACACGTTTTTGWGTTTTCCAATTGAAAAACATCTCTCGTAACATGTGAAATACTTGCCTTTTGACTGCATATTAGGTAGTAYAWT